TGCCTACTTCGAGCAAGATGAGAGAAGCTGAAGTTCTCAATGAGCAATCACATGTGCACTCCTGCACGCGCACACACACACACACACACACAGACGCAAGTTCACAACAGAATGAAAGAGCATGCAGGGCTAAGTTCCCAGCGTCCAGCCGAGAGAGAGAGACTAGCAAGAGCTGCTCGCACTGGCTGGCGCCCACTCACACACACCAACTGCACGCATCTTCCCAATTCCATGCTGGTAACTCTAGCGCCCTCACACTGGTAGCTTAAAATTGGCCATGGTGGGAGTCTTTACACCACACAAACTGGCAAATGCTACAAATCAGGGCCCTGTCCTCCTCCTCTTCCCCCACTCGAGCCACTTGTTAACCATTTACCAGCCACACTACTGGGTCAGGAAAGACTTGCTGGGAAGGTGGAACTCCAGCTGCCTTTGAAGGATGGACAAAGCTTGATAACTTCCAAAGTGTGGCTCATCTGTTCCCATGTGGGCCTCACCATGGTGCTGTGGGTAGGCAGGGCAACTTCGATTCCCATTTTACAAAATAGGAAACTGAGGCTCAGGTAGTCAAGAGACTTGCAACAAACCACACCCAGAGCAAGGACTTGAACCCAAAGGACTAGACTCTTTCTGCTAGACCAGTATTTCCCAAACTTTGGCCATTCACAGGCTTTCTTCCTGATTTTAGACATCTACACTCCCATTGCTTACTATTTTCCTTTAAATGATTTTTTTTACTTGTTACTTATCTTTAAAAGGCAGTACATCATATTATTATATTGTTAAAACTATCAATTTACAATTATTAAAGGAAGTTTCACCTAAAATCCCATCTCATATATCCCAGATGGCACACTTTGGGAATCATATCCTGGTCTTCCAGGCATGGAGAAGAATGAGAAAAACAGATCGTGTGTGTTGGGGAGGTTTTTGTTGTCCTCACCAAGGCCGAGAGAAATGGGGGTGACAGTGACATTCCAGAGATTGAAATGAAGACACCGGGATTGAGAGCTGACCCTTTGAGCCCCAGGCCCTTCTCTGTAGGCTGCCTGCACACATGACCAACCAAAGACATCCTCAACCCCACCCCATACGTAACAGAGGAGACCCGGCCTTCTCTGGACAGCATAGCTCATTGCGAGGCAGACAGCTCTGGGTTTGAATCCTGCTGAGGCTGTTGGGCAATCTGCTTAATGTTTCTGAGCCTCAGTTTCCTCTTCTGTAAAATGGGAGATAGTGACATCTGCCCCACAGCATTGCTGTGAAGACTAGTGAAGTAGACATAAGTGGATCCAGAATGGAAACAAGGCACCTAGCCGAGCACCCGGCACCCAGTAGTGCTTAGCAGTTCTTAGTAGTTCTGTCTTAGGAAGGGAGAGTACATCCCTTCACTTTTCAGTTAAGCCAATGGAGGGAAGAAAGCAACTCACACCAGGCAGCGGCGATGGGCAAGACATCCGCTTTCTCTTCAGTTCCATAAAGCGTCCAGCATCAGTCAGAGTGAGCAGACGCCGTACACCTTGAGTCTAGCCCCAGACACATCCAAAGAGTGAAAGAGCAGACTTTGGAAATCTCCTGGCTCACTGACCTCCCCCCGCCCCCCAGACTTAACTGCACACCAGAGTCACTCTGGGCTGTTTTTTAAATGACACATCCCAGAAAAAGTGAACCAGAATCTGCAGGAGAGAAGGAGCCCAATGCCCTCTGTGAAAAGCTCCCTGAGCAAACCAGATCCAGCCCCTCATAGCCCCGGAAAACATTGATCTAATTTGACCCCTGATTTTACAGAGGAGGAGACCGAGGCCAGAGATGGGAAGGGGCTTGCCAGATAGTGGCAGAGCTGGGATCACCTCTTGGGCTGCCTTCAAGTGGACCCAGATGTTGGCAGTCTGGGCCCAGTAGGAAGAGAACTTGAAGGAGCTCTGAGTGTCCTTAAGGATGACCAGGGAACAGGGCGGATCCTGTCTAGAACCACCTATGTGAACCAGATGTTGGCAGTCTGGGCCCAGTAGGAAGAGAACTTGAAGGAGCGCTGAGTGTCCTTAAGGATGACCAGGGAACAGGGCGGATCCTGTCTAGAACCACCTATGTGAATGGTTTATGTTCTCCCAAAGTCTCCTGCTTTCAATTCATGCCGATTCCCAAGGAGATTTCCCTGGGTATTCACCCTGCATTCCCAGACCTCATTTCCTTCTGTCCCCCAGAGCTGGGGGGTCCAGGCCACTTTTTGAGTGCTGCCCAATATAGTGTTAAGGCCTGTTGCCAGCAGCTTCTGCCACTTGGCAAGGCCTGTGGCCAGTGAGCCCCAGCTCTTCCCCCACTCCCTGGGCATGTGGATTTAAGGCCCTCTCCTTGCTGACCTCGAATGGGCTGCTTGGGGATTTGATGTGGCATTTCATAGCATTCTGCATTTAGCCACCTGCCAACACACCCTGCCCGTCCACAGCATGGAAAGCAGAGCAGGAGCCCAGTGCTTTTTGCCAGATAGTGCCTCCTCCTTAGCACACTTGACTGGAGGGTGTGACATTCAGGCACGGCTGAGAATAGAGCCCTGAAGCCCCAACATCTTGGTCACCTGCAGTTTAGCAAAGCCATCTTGTGAAGTTAAAGATCACCACCAAAGCTAGGTGTATTAAGAAGCTGTATGAGTTAGACGAGAGCAGATGCCCCAAAGCTAGCACTGGAAGCAGCGGTTCCCAGCCTCGGCTACACACCGGAACCCCTGGATCACTAAAAACCCTGATGCCTGGGCCTCGCCCGCAGAGATTCTGATGTAATTGGTCTGGGATGTAGCCCAGGCTTCAGAGTGTTTTAAACTGCCCAGGTGATTTTACTGCACAGCCTGGGTAGAGAACCGCATCTAAGCATCTCTTTTGTGGCCAACAGAAAACAGAGTCGTACTTTGGGCCTCACTTCTGGCCCCCTTGCTTTTTATTCTTTCTCTTCTACTTCCAATTTATATTAACTGCTCTATTTTATCAATCTTTGCAACCCACTTAAAATTCTTTTCAGAATAAGGCAAAATAGAGAATATTTAACACATTAGGTTAAAATGCAGTTTATAAAGCGCAGTCACAGGCAAGTTAGTATCCTCATTAATTAAAAGGGAAACTGAGGCTCAGAGCTCAAGGCCTCACACACTATAAGGCGGGGGGAAATCCTGAGCCCAGAACCCCACCCCCCACCCCCAAGCCCCCATCAGCTGGCCCTTGCTCTGCAGGAAACGGGTTTACTGCTTGTGTCTTCTGGAGCAAAAGGATGAAAGTTTGCATTAAAGTTTCTGAAGGTGTGGTTTATGGATCACTGTCATCAGATTCCCAGGCCCCTCCTCAGACCTGCTGAATCAGGTGGAGCCCAGGAATCTGCATTTTAATGATTCTCTGAGTGTTTCTGAGTTGCACTGTGTTTGAGAACTGGCAGTTTTCATCCTCAGCAAGCTCCAGTCTCTCTCTGAAGGCCCAGAGACTCCTAGACACACCTGTTCAGCGCAGCAGTATGCCTGCCCTTCCAGCACCCTCCTTCATGGAGGAACTGCTCTCCTGCTCCACTCCTGCATCGCCTAGAAAAGCTGCAGACTTTCCCGGGAGGCACCCCTTGTGGGTAGGAGTCCTGCTGTGCCCTTGAGAGCACCCGCAGGCAGATTCTCCACTGGTGGGGCCTTTCTGGCTTCAGTATAAACATCACATGTAAAATGATGTAATTGCATCCTCTAACATCCATGTGTGCACTAGTGCGTGCACTCACGCGCACACACACACGTGGCAGTGTTGACAGTCCAACTCAGTAGTAGTGGAGCCATGTGTCGGCAGCTGGCTCCCAGGTGAAAGTTAAGTCCGCTGGTCACATTTCCACTGAATGCTGACAAAGGTCAGATCACCATGACCAAGTGACCCAGAACATCTCTGTGTCTGGTACAGCAGGGGCAGTTGGCTATAATCACCCTCATGGTCAAGATATCAATGGCCACTATTTATTGACTGCCTGCTGCACACCAATCAAACTGATGTGTAAGATCTCATTTTATCCTCAAAAGCAGCTTTGGTGAAAGATATATTAAACTGTGTTTTATAATCTGGGCATAGCAATCCCACTTTGCTGGGTTGTTATGAAGAGTAAATGAGACAAGTACTTAGCTCATCAGGTCATTTTAGGTTTAAATGAAGTAAATGTGTAAAGCACTTTAAATTGTGCCTGGAACATAGTTAAGTGCTCAGGAATATTATCATCATTATTAGTTAGAAAAGTAAAGTATTTACAGCAACCCACAGGGGTGCAATAAAAGGTAACTACAGCTGTCATCATCATCATCAACATCACTATTAGTATAATTAATTACCCCTCTGTTATGGATGCAGTTCAGAGAGGTTAAGTGACATGCCTGGGGTGGCCCAGTGCTGAGAGGCAGAGATGCCTGTGTAACCCAGGAGCAGCTGATTCTGAGCCTCCCAGTTTCCTCATTCCCCAGCGGGACCCCCAGACTGCTAAGCTTAAAGCTCTCTGCCTACTCCCTGCTGCTAGGCTGGACTCAGACGGGACAACAGAGCCAGACACAGGCAGCATGGCAAAGCTACTACCTTAAGGAAACTAGAATCCTGGGTGGGGGGACCAGAGCCTGGGGCAAGGAGTATGGGTTCAGTTACTGGTGGGTCCAGGAACAAGGGAGGGGCCCAGTTATCAGGACTGAGGTCCGAGGCCAGAGCTGGCCCAGCAGCCTATCACACCTGCAGAACTGCTGTGCTGGGTCCCCTTGGAGCAACCCTGAGCTGGGGCTGCTCTGGTGTCAGGGCCCAGGCAAGCAAAACTGAGCTGGCAAATGCATCCCTGCATCGGGGAGGGGAAAGAGAGGGTGGAGAACCAGGCCTGCCAGATACCTAGGCTCTCTCAGGTGATGGTCACCTTCATTCCTCCTCATAGGGTGCAACTTGAGCAACAGACCTCTGTGATCCCAGGACCTGCCTGTGTGAGAGGTGGGGTGACCCCAGCCTGTTTTGTGGGGTCACCCACTCAATTTTCTGCTCTCTGCCTCATGAAATGGGCTGGGGGAGAGGAGTAATGATGTGCAGTGGGGCCACCAATGTGGCCACTCCCCATGGTTAGGAGAGAGGGGCATCATGGACAGGCCTGGCCCAGGGCATCTAGACACCTACATTCTGGCCTGGCTTTGCCATCCACCTTCTATGCAACACCACTGTCTTCCTCATCCCAGGCCTGGGCCTTGGTTTCCCCCTCTGTAAAATGGGAGGGCTGGAAACACTGATCTCCAGACTCCAACCAGCATTCCACATTTACTCTCTGAAGGCCAAGTCCCACAGAGCACACGACAACAACAATGATTCACTACATTACTAAGACGATGCTTCTGGGACCCAAGGCAGTGTCCGGCAAGTTCCCACATTTCTGCCACTTGCCCTTGGTTCGGCAGGGAACTGCTGGACACCAGCTGCGACCTGCCAGAGATACCAGCCCCATCTGGCCAGCGGCCCCGGGGCAGTCCTTCTTGCTGTTCTTTCCCGTGCTTGGGCATGTTACGGCTGTTACAGAGCATTTGTTGGCGATGGCCACGGTCCAGGGTGAAGCTTCAGCCCTGCCTTTGAGCAGCACCTCTGCAGAGCGAGGTCAAGCCTCCTGTGCCTGCACAAACAGAAATTAGGAGGCAATTAGCCCCCTGGGTGTGTGAATTTCCTTTTGAGGTTTTAGAGACAGATTTTAGCCAAACACAGCGTCACTAACAATAATAATAATTTCCACTGAGATCCCAGCAGGAGGTCGCTGGCATCAGATTTCCAGGATGCTAGAGGGAAGGAGGCGTGCCAGGAGGCGAGAGGCGTGGGAACAGGCCTGGTGGCACCTGCTTTTCTCACCATGGCCACCTCTTGGAGACCCACATGAGGCTATGAGGTCACCTGTCACCAGGGATTGGACGGATTAGGGTCTTGTAGGCGGCCAGGGTCTAGGGGAAGAGAGCCAAAACAAGGGGTCAAAGTCCTGGGGTCAAACCCCCTGAGCAGTTTTATGACCTTTGATTAGTCACTGCTGGTCTCTGAGCCACATCTGTGAAAAAGAAGGCCACGGACCTGCTCTGGCTGCCCCACAGGGCCACAGTGAAGGTGAAATGGGGCAGGGAAGTCAACACGTTGTGAAGATTGCAAAACCCCATGACATATCAGCTGTCACCATGACTGCTGCACAAGAAGTAGGGGAGGGGTTAAGAGTGTGGCTTCAGGGGTCAAACTGCTTGGGTTCAAATCCTAGCTCCGTCACTTACTGGCTTTGTAACCTTGAAGAAGTTACGTACCCTCTGGGCTTCCGTTGCCTCATCTGTAAAATGAGGGTAATGCCAGTGCTCACCTCGTTGGGCTATTGGGAGCTAATTGATGTGGATAAAGGGCTGAGAGCAGTGCCTGAGTCAGTAGGAGAGAGGGGACAGGGGCAGCAGGGAGCTCCAGCCTCAGCAGTGACTGACCAAGCTCTCCAAGCCAACAGCAGGCCGGAGGGGCTGGGAGAAACTCGAGTCAGCCTTCAGGGGATGCATAGACATCACGTAGGAGGGGAGCAGGTGATCTCCTGGACAGGGGCAGCAGGGAGCTCCAGCCTCAGCAGTGACTGACCAAGCTCTCCAAGCCAACAGCAGGCTGGAGGGGCTGGGAGAAGCTCGAGTCAGCCTTCAGGGGATGCATAGACATCACGTAGGAGGGGAGCAGGTGATCTCCTGGTCCCAGTTGGCTGACCAGGGCCTGGAGCAGGAGTGGTTGGGGCCAAACACATTTGTCTACACCTGTCCCCTAGGGCCAGGGCCCCAGGATAGCAAGACAGGAATGCAGGACAGCTCAGCTCTGGAGTCAGAGGAGGGAACAAATCCTGGTTTACCTCTCCTGACTAGATGGCCTGGGCAAGCCCCTTAATTTCTCTGATTCTTGATTTTTCTCATGGTCAAGACGGCAATGATGAAACACACTTTCTGGATTGTTGTAAAGATTAAGCTAAATAGCATTTGTAAAGCCTTAGGAGTCTCCTGGCACATGGTGAGCTCTCAGATATGGCTGCCTTCCCCCAGGTGGGGCAGGGTCTGGCCCCAAACATCACCATTAGGCTCCACTGGTGAGTAGCTTGGACATTCACTGGGCTTAGGGGCCTTCCAGTCAATTCCTCCAGATAACTGAGCTGGGAATGGGCAAGCCCCTTGGCCTGAAATAAGTCAGCAGGAGATTCTTGCAAACACAGTCC